CAAGTGCCATAAGATTATCAGGCTTAAATAATCCAGTCATTTCAAGGGTATCAAAGGAAGAGGAAAATACAAGGCAATATAAACTGTGCAATTCTGATACGACTCCCTCACTGCTTGAGGAAGCAAAGTGTCCCTAAAACTCTAAATACCTCATGCAGGCACAGAAAATAAATGATCTAGGGTGGGAGATGACAGTCTCTGAGACCCAAGAGCATGGGGTGAAGATGCTGAGAGCTGTAAAAAAGCTGCCAACTGTATAATCTTGCAGTAGCTGTCTTCTTGTTAAAGATGCAAGAGCACTCGCAGCCGTTAAATACTGAGGAGAAACAGCTTAACATCCAAGTGCAGCCCTCGGAGGGGATCATACAGATCAATGAGGTTTCTTAAAAGCTACTGAAAACTTGAAGGACACCAAAACTAGATAAGATACTAAGGAAAAATTCCCAACAAATACAATTCTAAAATATATAAAACCATATATAAAACCCTATGTATAGAAGCCTTCCTCAAAGGCCCTGAAGTGACACCTACTCAACGTACATGACGTTTGTACCCAGTGCCACCAGCTGACACTGTGACTGACACACTCTGCCCTGAAATGCAATAGAAAACCAGGGTCTTGACCAGCTGCAGTCTTGAAAGATGTCAGGGCTCTCAGGAAGAGCCATAGGTAATCTGAGTTCAGGATGCTCCATCCTGGCCATTTGCCTTAGCTTCCAATTTTCATGGGCAAGCATATACTGATTCACTCCGAGCCCTGTACAGTGTAGTATAGCACAGGAAATAGGTTTATTCCCAAAAATGCTGCAGTGACAGACTCAAAATAAGTGAAAGGACTTCAGGATCAAAGGCCTGATGTAAAATGGCTTTAACATTTTCTGTCTCAAGGTCATCCATACAAAACTTATTATGGATTCTTTAATAATAGAAGCAGTCGCTTCATTGAAATTAATTTATTTTGAGAACATCCCTTTTAATCCTCCATGCATTTTTTAGCAAAAAAAAAATTAGAATTTATCACAACCTCCTTCATAAAACTTAATATTATATGTCTGGTAATGTGGCTGTTTCAACAGTTCCTCACTGGAAAACCCACACCTGTGAAACCTTGGCAACACTGTCAGTAAGTGACCTACACAAAGTTTAATAGAAAAAATTTACTGAATATCCTCTGTTTAATGTAAACAAGGCAGGAGGCAAAACAAAGAGTATATATTTTATATAGCTACACTATTTTACAGGGCACAGAAGGCATTGAGGATCATGGTTTTAAAACCCTGTGGGATACACCATGTCAGATATGGATTTTGCAGGTAGCTCCAAGTCTACTACACAATCCTTCAATTTTACCTGACACTTCCATTTAGGATTTCTTTAAGCAAGACAAATAGAACTAATAAAATGCCACTTCTGAAATTATAGAACAGGTTATGGTAGAAATTACCATGCATTTACAAAGCCATTCCATGATTACTCATGCCCTGTAAAATTAAGTGTGACCATCTTTACACTAATTATAGTGTAAAAGAGCTTGGGATTCTGGTCCTTTTATATATATATACATAGGTGATGTACAACCAGACTCAAGCTGTGTATCAAATCACAGCTTTTATATTGCACAAACAAATACATAGTAAGAACATTACACAGACAGGATCTGAATACAAGGAATATTACAGTCATATGATAAACTAAGGACAAACTTGTTCTACCAGAACTAGCACATGGCTTATTACAAATGTTTCTATATCTGAGTCTAAATCAAATACATACTATAAATGGAAAAAAAAATTAAAAATGTGTATATTTACACACATGTGCATCAGGATTAAAATGTGGTTTGGATCTGCTTTTTGAAATAAAAATTATTCTAGTATTACCTCTCAAGTATTTCAACCTAATTCTAGTGGCTGTATTTTCTAAGGTGATGATCACTTGCATTCCCCAGACATCTGGAGGATCTTCATAGGCTATGAACTTCAGGCCACATATTTTCTCAGGTGTCCATCTCTGGGTAATAAATAACCACATACAAACACACACAGAAACAAAATGGGCACCTCAATGACATGCATAGATTGGAAAGGTGAAAACATGGACTTGAACTAAATTCTAACCTTTTTAAAAAAAAAAAAGAAAGAAAAAGTGCATGGAAAATATCATCACCAAAAATAATTAAATGAGTTCCATCTCTTTAAGAAAGATTAAATCATTTTTACAAAAATAAAGGTAGTTGTTACCATGTCTGGTAAAATTAAGGGTTTGTAGGCAACACTCACAAAAGCAGTTTAAGCAATGCTAAGGATTGCTTCACTTCCATCAGGATGGATCCATGTCTTCTAAATTTATCAACTAAATAACATTTGGTTTGCAAGAACATCACCAATATTGCTGGAGACCAAACAACTATATCCTGAATTTAAGGGTGCTTATTTTTCTCATAGACAAGCATGAAGGAATTGTGTTTGCAGCTCAGCAGACTGTTTTGCACTAAAATGCTACAGAAGTTCCAACAGTCCTTGCAGAAGCTGACTGATACAATTCCTTACAATGTAATGAGCTCAAGTATCAGTGAAAACAACAACAAAAACACCAGACGTGATGTTAATGCTTTCATTTGAAATCAGGCATCTCAAGTGGCTTTATAAATTGGTATATTAATTGGAATGCTCTTACAAGTTTTGTTTAACACTTCCCTCACTTTCATTTATAGTAGTATTATCACTTCCAGTTTACACTGAAATTGGGACATTAGAAATATTCTGGAACATACATTTAAAAAAAATAAATAATGAAAATAGAAAATTTAAGGAATAAGTAGTTAAGCTCCAAAACCAATGAAGACCCAAATTCATTAAAGTCTGAGCATTTGTGCTCAACAGCTTAACTTAGTTCATGGAAAAGACAGGGACTTAAGTATAAAACTCTTGAAATGAAGCTTATATTTAACTGTTTTGCTGAACTGGGACCTTATTTATAACTCTGCATAGACACTGACATGTTCTAAACTAAGTGTCAGGTATGTTACATTAACACATACCCCTAAAAATTATTTGCTACTTTCAAGGTATGTTTCTAAAGGACAAAAATGAAAGAAGTGTCACTTTAAAAAACCTTTATCCTCCTATGCTGCTTTGACCTGAAAACACTTCAGGGCGGAATTCAGCAAGAAACAAGTAGGTGACGAAGTAAAAATGCTTTTGTGTTCCAGATGTTTTGTACATTACCAAACACTTTGTACAAAAGCTTTTCAGTATAGGGAGCCACTGAATACAGGATTTACTTGCCAGCATGTTTCCCCAGTTCCACAACTGCTCTCTCCAGCTGAACCTGTATTGGAAGCTTTTACAGCAGGACCCTCTTCACTGTTGTGAGAAGAATAAATTTAGCCCATTAACTGTGACACTGTTCTAATTAGCCTGCTAACTTAAAAGGCCTCTCAACATCCAGGTGTCATAAATATTAAAAAAACAAGACCTCAAAGGCATGGTTCAGAGCAGACTCTGATTCTAGGTACAGGCATGTAAATCCAGAAAAAATTTAGTGACTTGAGTAAATTAATCCATATTTGCATATGAGCAATCACATTTGAAATGGGCATTAGCTGTGCAAATAGGACAGGAGGACGAAGAAACAAAGAAATACAATGTAAACACAAGAAGCTAAACTCTACCTTGTTAGGTTCACAGGTGCAGAAAGAGGTACTCCACACTGGTGGGGAGAGCAAGGGAGGTCCCTCCCCAAGTCCCTCAGTGTGACTGGAGGGTTAAAGCCCAGCCACCTGCACCTGCCAGTGCAGGTGTGGCACTGAGCAGCAAGAGCTGTCCCAAGGGCAGGCTGGCATTGACCCAGAGAAGTCCACATGGGATTGCCCTCCACTTCCAAAGCTATAGTATTTACATTGGAAAAGACTCCCTGAGAGCCATTTCTGCATCCCAGCACGATGAAAAGCAGGCTTAAATTTTGGTCCTGTATATATGGTATCAATGCTTTAACTGCATTGGTATCAGTTAATCTTTCGCTGGGCATTTCTAAAAGTGACAGAATGTTTACGCTGCCAATTTTCAAGGCACAAGAGTCTTAAACCAATTCAGGCTACATACCAACATAAAAGAAACATTATGTATTAAGAAATTAAAAATATAGTTTCAGCAACAGCTACTAATGACCTATAATTAACTTGCCTGCAAAGGTGACACGAGTCAAGCAACTGAAGTTCACGTGCAAAACAATTAAAGGAAATCTAGTTATCCAGATGACCTAAAGAGCTATCACTTGGAATTACAGAGACAAACATGCTAGAATCATGTATGTTTTGGATATATTTGTTATGGATGTGTTGCTGAATCAGGATTAATTCCATTAGTATTGATTTTATACTGATATATCTCTTGGAGTAATCTATCGGGGAATCAAGTTCAGAGTTGTCTTTAAGATTCAAACAAAAATGATCCCTTATTAACTGATCTTACTGTATATGGATTAGTGAATTTTTTGAACCTCTGTTTTTTAATAATATACATTGCAACCATAGTTGTGATTTCCTTTCATATATCCAACTGAAAAGAAAAAGAATTAAGACATAAAAACGCTATAAAATTAATTTGCTTTTTGAAAGTAATATGGTCACAAAACAAAAAAATTGGTGCTTGTGAGCCCCAGAACATACAAAAGACCCAACTCTCTAAACACTGTCCTTATAACAGAATAACCAAGGTCTGATGTCTGTGGTTCTTCATTCAGCTTTTGCTCTTCGCACAGTGGCTAGAAATGTTATGTATTGGTTTCTACCCAGACGCCTTCAATCACCTTCTAGGTCCATTTAAATCCCCCCCTCTTGCAATGTCAACATCTGGTGAAAGTAACAACTTCCAATTCTGCCAAATGTCAACTGACACTTTGCCAGAAGGCACCACCTCTTCCTATCTGGCTGTTGTCAATAGTCTTTTAGACTGAGACAAGCTAGGTGGTTTTACAGCCTGGCAACTCATCAAGGCTGATTATGGTGTAGATGAGGCATGATACTTCACAAAAGCAATCGCTGCCAGCTCTTTGCAGAATTCTTCCAGCACAATCACGCCCTCTAGTAACGTCATGTGGTCAATGCTGAGAAAGAAAATAATAGCAGAGAATCAGGACCAGCACACAAAGAAAAAATCAGCCAGGGGTCCTGGAGAAGGTACAATGTCTTTACTCACATGGGCCCTTCTGGCTCCAATCCCAGCAGGCGTTTTCTGACCAGCAGAAGTTTGGGAGTGAAATCTGGGATGCGCTGGATTCTAACCATGAGGTCCCCAACGACCTGTAAAGCACAAAGCCATCAACACACCCAGTCCACCCCTTTGCAGAACCTCTTGAGCATGCTCATAGGCTCACAAAACAATATGGACAGCAGCTTGTCTGCCCCCAAAAGGGTGAGTGGGTACTGAAAGTAGACTCAAAAGGACAAAACTCTTAAGTCTCACTTGTGGTTGCCTCAAATGGCATTGCTTATTTTAATTATGTCCACGATTAATTTGTCTTAGTAAATGTTGACACAGGCAATTGACCAGTAAATTCCTGGGTTTAGAAAAAGCAGAAGGGGAGAGTGTGAAGATTATATTTTGAAATGGGGAGGGCTGCTGGGAACAAGGGAGCTCAGCACTCCGTTTGCATTGGGCAAGCACTGCTAATAGGATCCTGATCAGCTTAATAACAGCTGGTGCGTGGGGTAGGCGAGGGCTCTGACTGAGAAGACTGCAGTGTGACAGGCAGCCAGCCAGCTCTTCTAGGAGGAAGGTCTGGCAGGAAGAGATGGAATCGGAGAGGGAAAGGAAGGGCCTTTTGATAAATCCAGGACTTCACTGTCAAGAACAGCCTTAATCAGAAAAAAAAAAAAAAAAAAATAGAGGATAAGCAGATATATTCATCCAGGCACAGAGTATTCAGGAGCATCCTTTGCTTGTGAGGGAATGAGCCTCTTTCTCACCCAGATGCAAACCTGTTCTTGGCCTGTTCTTACAGCTCTGCCTGACCTTGCCTGCAAGTGACTGCAATGTGACCTAGTCCAGTTTAAAGCAACATTGTTGCCAGTGTGTATTTTGCATCTACACAATAAAAGCAAACATACAATTTTCAAGTCATGCAGAATGAAGACAGGCTGGGAAACACATTTCGCAATGTTTGTGGTAGAAAAGCCATAATTCTGATTTTCAATTCAATAGCCTAAGTATCTATTTTCAGTGAGAAGGCATTTGCCAACTTAAACTAGCCAGCAACTACTGTCACTGACTACTAAGTTAGTAAATACATCACTGCTGTCTAGCCATATGTAAATATTAGCTGTGTATTTACTCACCCTGACAATGACAGAGAAGAGAGACCTGCAGCCAGAAGCCAGGTTTACATAAGGATCCAAAAGGTATTCGTGTATATGAGGATGGGGAAACAAGGACAGTTTGGACAACACTGACGTAACTTGTAAATTTACATCATAGGGCTGCAAAAAATAATAATAAAAAAAAAGGAAAACACAGTGCTTAGTTATGTTCATGCTGGCTTATTTTGATCCAGACAGTGTTTATTTAATTGCTAGAATTATATACAGGGTTATGAATATATAAAGATAAAAAATTAGATTAGAAGACAGGCCCGAAACCTGTGCTTTCCACAACAGGAGTGATGTGAACATGACAGTTGGGTATTAGATGTTATCTGTATAACTGCTACAACCACTTGAAGATTTTGCACACTTGTTTATTGTAGGGTAAGTCTTCTTATGAAACATTTCTTCAGCTCAGCAGCTAAACACCATAAAATCAGCCTAGATTAAACATCTGCTTGCTTCTCCTGGATAAATGTAAATTATAAGTGCTCAGGAAACTGAGAGAGAGAAATCCATGTTTTTGGCTAGTATGGTATTTTTCTTCTTCTACTTTCTTTTTTTCTTGGCAAGAGACACTGCAGAAGGCCTGATCCTCTTGTGGCAGCATTCTACAGGAGATGAGACAGCCCTGGGCTGGGAAAGCAGCATGAAATTCCAAACTGCTTCTCTACCTCTTTTCTCCAAATCAACTATATGGGAGAGGCAACACTGTCAGATGCTAGAAGATGCTAAAAGTCATAAGGAAAAAAATAGTACCTAACTTTCTGGGAAAAAAACAGTGCCTAGCTTTAAGGTTTTTATCATTCCAGTAAGAAACTCATTTCCATGAAAGCAAGTATTTTCACCATGGCTTCTTTATGTTCCAAGTACTTTTTTTTCCCCATCTTTGATTTTCTCATCACAGTGAGACAAGCTGACAAACCAGTGAAATTTCCTTCCATCTATTCAGTGGTGGAACAGACTACATTGACAAGACATGGCCTTACACCAGTCTGATATTACCAACACTCAGATGGTTTAACTTCACCTTGTTGGTTTCACCTGAAGCAGATTACAGGGCCCTCAGTCAGTCCTATTGACTATATACTGGCTGTAACATCCTCAGTGGCATAATCACATCTCAAAGAAGATGATTTATTGACCTCTAATTATCACCTTTATACTTTCAAGTTAGCATCACACTGAATAATGTGATAACAGTTTTTTCCCTTTTCCAGCCTATAAAATTTGGAAGAATTCAGCTTCAAATTTTGACAGGTATATTTAGATATGTCTACATGTCTAAGCTCCCATTAGCCTCAGTTCAGGCAACTGAGCCAAGCTTTCAGTCAACACAGTCAAGGAAGCTGAGATGGTGAATCACTTTGCACTAAAAGAGACACCAACTTGCTTTTCAGTCTTAACAGCTTTGAAGACTGCCAGGGCTGTTCTGACAAAATTTCCACTGACTAAATGTGGACACCTAACTAGTATTTAGGCATTTTATTCCTGAATTCATAACCACACACTGCTGCATTGCAAAGGCAGTTGTCATAAGATCTTTTGAAGTGAAACACGTATTTCTCCCAGTCAATAGCAGGGTTGTTTTGTACTTGATATTCCAGCAATAGATTCATCCCTATCTTATGAGAAATGAAGCATCCAGAGATGTTACAGATAAAAGAGATCACTGCATTTTGAGTTATTCTGGAAAGGTTACTCTGCAGACAGAGACACAAATCCCTTCCATAAATCCATTCCACTGTCTACCTAGCTGAACTGCAGGAAGTCTTTAGAGTTGTCTGAGTCAGTCAATTCATTAGGAAGCTTTGAAGCCATGAGCATTATCTTGTGTTCACAAGACAAGAAAGAAACAAAGTAGTAACACGTGCTGCATTGTTCAGACAGATTGCTGTTGTGATTTGAACTAATTGAGAGCATTAAGGCAAGCTGCTTCTTCACACAGAGCTTTTATTTCTATCCATATGTCAGCAGTCTCAGTAAGACACCCATATATGAGATAACTCCCTAAAAACCTGCAGTTCAGGAAATTCTTAAAAAATTCTTAGGAAACAATCACTTCCATAGAGATGTATAATATAAACAGGAAGAAGGAGGTACTGTCGAGCAGATGAGGTACAGGATCTGAACTGCCTTGAAGGTTACTTCACTTGTGTGGCTCAGCTATCTTCTCCAGAAGCTGTTAAAAATTTTAATTCTTCTGGAGTCAAGAACCATCTTCAACATCACAGATCATAGAATCTTGCTTGTCTAACCCAAATGTGTGTCCTGCTGACAGGCATTATATCAAAATGGGCACCATGTGTCCAAGCCAGATGCTACTTTTGTCATAATCATACATATCTGACACTTGGGTGGTTTTCAGAGGATGTTCTGTACTTTCGGTTTAATTCATGTGTTATTGCTCAGACAAGGTTTCCTTATGCACAAGGCTTGTTTTTCCTAAGATGCTGATGTCCAGTTTTCTTCATTACTCTAATCTATAACCATTTTAGCTACTGTAGTGTGAAGAACGTGTTTACTGGAAGCAAAACCCTGAGAATACACAATATAGCAATGAATTATTTTTTTTTTCCTGATTTCTCAATTATAGAAGTTGGTGCTCTCAAACATTCTTCTCCTGTCAACACTCACTGAGGTAACCTAGAGGCTACTAAGAGCTTCCTGACATGTTTCCTAAGCATTTATATGTTCAAATGGCTTTGTCCTGCTTATGAGCAGGGAAGATGGCACTACCACAGACAATGGTTTACTCTGTAGACAGCTCCACAAGCAAACCAGAATTGTACAGATTTCTGAAACATCTACACCAGCTGATATTGGAGGGAGGGTAATCTAGACTTTTCTAGAAGTTTTCATGGGCAAGAGGAGTTATCTTCTTGATCTTAAGCAGCAATATTAACATGACTAATGAGTCCAGAGGTCAGAGAAGACAAAGAAATACGAAATTTTCACACAGGGCAACCCTCCGTTTCACCTCCCTGAGCCTTCACTGCTTTGCCCCAGAAAGATTGTCATGCAGGCTGCCTAATACAGAGCAGACATCAGGAAAATTCACTTTCTTTAAATTCTTTTGTACTAATCTGGGTCTGACACACCACACCTCCTTTTCAGAGCAAGGAGCCAGTCAGATCATATCTCATTTGTTTGCCCTTGGCAGCTATACCTCTATTACTTGAAGATAATAAACCAGGGAAAAAACCCTACTTTACATTACAGATGGAAAAGGGATACCTTTTAGAAACTTTCCAGATAATGATAACAGTGTTTTTCTAACTGTGAAAAACTGGGGGAAATGTTAGCAGTGATATACGAAGTTCTTTTCAACTTACATAATGACATAAACTACTTCCAGAATACCTCAGATTGAAGTTCACTGAAATGTGGCAGAAAGGAGCTGTACAATATTTTATTAACTGAGAAATGCAAATGCTTTTAAAGTGTAAATGCTAGAAAATGAAAACAGAATCAGTGATGGTAGTACTGAAGGATTCCTATGATACTGTCTTACCCACTTCTTTTACATTAAGGATATGCTTTTCTTACTCATTAATTTAATTATAATTCTGGTCAAGGTAACATTTTTACACCAAAAAAATGGTTAACAAAGATAAGAGTGTTTTTGTTCTCTACTTCTGTTGAGAATGCTGATCACTGTAACACCCTGCAACCTACAGAGACCTGCACCACAGACATGGGATGTCCCACAATAATATGATGCTATAATAGACATCTGAGTGGTGGGAATCCATGGGATCTTAGAGATCAGCCCTTCAGTACTGATTAAAGTATCAGAAATGGAATTAATAACCTTCATTTCCTTACCTGATCAAGAATCCTGCCCATTCTTTCAAAGAGGACTCTCAAGAAGTGTCCTTCAAAAAATGACGCTTCTAAATTGCACTTTTCCAAAGATCTGGGAGATCCAGGCCACTCCCACCGTAAACAGATGACACAATAATCCCGGAACTAGAAAAAAATACCAAGGAAAACATATTAAAACCTCAGTGGAAACCATTTGTTTGCTTTTAATAGTCCATACACCTTAAAACCATAATCTGTAGCTACATGAAAAATATAAGCCCCCAAAGAACTGTAATTCTAAAATAAACGTGATCGGTTTCTATTGAGGGACCTTAATTTCTTCTTGACATTCATGCTATTAGAGTAGCTTCAAAACCACAGTTATTTGAGAACAGAGCTCCCAAAAAGCAGCTGGGGCCAATGCACAAAGCAAAGTCAACAATACCCACCCTGACCAGAGTTATTCTAAAGCAGGAATTGTATTCAGATGCAGTCTTGTTGATACATGAACACATATTCACTGTATCATGTGTATTTTATCTTGCTATCTGATCTATATTGCTCCCTGATTCCCAGGACAGGAAAGGCACATGCGTGTATATGCAGGAGACACAAATGAAAAAAGTACTTCAGGGCTTCCTCTTCCCTGTCTTGGTTTCCTAGCACCCATAATAGTCTTTCTCAACCTCTGCCTCTGCCCCTGGTTTGCTTAGGGCCCCCTGATGTCTCACTGCCAAGGAATTATACCTTGAAAGGAGCACAGGTTATAGCAGTAAAAATATGGAACACACAAATAAGCAGTAGCAAAAGAGAAACAAAACAGACTCAGACATTCTTCGCTGCATGTAGCTTACCTACTTATGAGGGCTTCCAGGAATAGAAACATGGAAGCAAAACAGCTATTTGGATGTCATAACAGCAATAGGCCGGGCTATTCTTAGGGGGGGGAAATATTTTAAGAGTAGCCATATCATTGTCAGGAAGGGACAGAAACCAATTATGTTCTCTAATAACTCCCAGAATACTCTTTTCCCCAAGGCATGAAAGAAATACCAAGATGATACGTGCTTTCTGACATCCAATAATAGAACATAGGGGAAATTTATATCAACCTGTATTTCCTTATTCTCTATTTTCTATTACTTTTCTTTTCAGGAGAGACTATACATAAAACAATATAATAAATACAGAAACCCAAGCTTCCCATCTTAAACTTGCTGATACCATAATTCAGAGGTTAGGGAATTTTTGAACTAGCTACTAAATATACCTCTCTCAGTTACTCTACTCCTTTGCATAAATTTTTCCATTCTAGAAGATTCACAGTGCTTCAATAAAAAAGATGCAAAAAAATCTTTTATTGTCTTCTGACCAAGGAAACTTTATATTTGTAAAAACAAAGCCTGCATTCATTTCAAAGCAGTAAATCATGAAGCCTTCCCTACCTACCAAAACTCCCAACTTCAAACCTGAATGCCTTAAGACTGCCCATTCCCTGTGATGAGCCATTATTTTTGAAGTCCTACATTGCGTAACTCCTATGCAGCATTTTAATCTCCCTTTAGTCCTTTGAAGCAGCCTGGCAGGCAATTCTCCAAGAGAATGCAGACAAATGCAAAAGCAAATTAAAAATCTATCTCCAGATTTTCTCTCAGTGTATTTGTTATATGAATATTAATGCATTTAATGCCATTCATTATTCCCACTAGAGTAATAGATGGTGAATTCACTGTCAAAAGTTCACCAAAGGTAAATCTTCATTAGAAAATAAAAATTGGGTTTTCCCATCTTCTATTATCAAAAAATGCATTCAGTAGGACTATTTATAGAACCACTTAGATATTCTCATAAGCATTTCAAATTCTCAAGGACTAATGAAGACTTCACTGACTTACTTGTCTGTGGGCATCTCTGAGGTAAGTGTCATAGCCTGTACCCTCCACATGGTATGATGACTTAGCTTCATCAGGTACAAGACAGAGAAAACTAAAGAGAAAAAAAGTACATGTATGAGTATCTAGAATCCACAGAGCACCAGATCAATACCTTCTCATCATTTGTCACAGTGTACACAATACTGAGTTGTCTGGCCAATTAATTCACACATTCTACTTAACTTTATGTGAAAAATAGAGAACATGAGATCTATTTAAGAATGACCATTCTAACTACTGTTTGCAATAACAACATGTATACTTCAGAACTTTTGCGTCTAGCACTAGAGGTAAAATCCTCAGGGGATGCATTTTCTGAGAATTAGCAGACAGAATGGAGATGAAAAGGAATATTCATAACCAGGTCAAGTACTTGCTAAAGGTCAGACTCCATCTTATTAGAGCGTATGGAAAATTTACTGGGAAATAAATGAGTCAAAAGACAAGGAGAATTAGGGTTAAAATTTTTGTTAACCTACTGCATAGGCAGTTTTATTTACCACAGTTCCTTGTGGTAAAAAATGAACATCTAAGAACATACAGGAATATTTGCATATAAATGTCCCAGTTACAAATATAATTGTCTTTGCCAGGTATGCGGTGCAAATACTTTAAGTCCTTATTACTTCACCAATATCTGACCTAAAAAGCATAATGAAATTCCGAGTCCTATGAGAGAGGCAGTGTCTTGATAAAGTAAATATAAAAATGTATTATTTCTGGATAGCAAAATAAAATTCAGTCTTTGGACCCAAATTTCAGCTCTTTCCAAGAACCCAAAGAACTGCTGGAATCTCCAGTAATATTTATATGCAGAAATATGTAGCAGCTGACTTTACATATGGAGCTCATCTTTTTTGAAAAAGCACAAATTTGCAAAACACGGCAAACCTTGAACACCTGGAAAACATTTCTATTCTCTGACGGAGATGACAGGAGGTGAATTTAGGAGAGTGTTCTTTGTGTCTTTGCTCCAAACCACATCCACCATTAACTATATGTAGCAGGACTAGGAGAAAGAGGGCAAAAGAAACTATGCCATTGCATCCTGCCTGTCCTCAGGCTATCTGCTTCCTCTGGCTAATACCTTTGATTATTTCTGGATAAGCAGATATGTCAGTGCTGGAATACCAGTGTTGCTTTGCTACCATCTATTAGCAGAGCAAACAGCATTTTTCCTAGTATTAGTTGCTAAGAGAATTACCATCACTAAGTTGCTTAGAGCAGAGACTGTCCTCTTTGTGATATCCAATTTGCCGTACATCCAACAATCAGAAAGGTATGTTACAGGTGACAGAGATTCCCCTTGATTTTCAGGGAACAGAAGGTTATCTCTAGCATAGCAATTATTTACTTTTATCTATGTGTTTAAGGAACTTGAGGAAAGTTCAGAAAGTTTTATAATCACTGAGGCTTTCCTAACAAATTCTGAGTATTCAAGTGGGTTATTAGCTGTGAAGCTCTTCTATTTTTCTCATTTATGTTGAATTATTTTTACTTATTGCAAGCTCTAATCTTTCAGGAGTAGCTTTCTGATAAAATGCCACAATTTCCTTCTGTGGAGTCATTTTACCAGCTGGCACAGAATAACATCCATTTCAGAGTACATTTAATTTGCACAGTGTGTGCAGACACCCACACATTCAGAGATTTCTTAAAAGTGTCTTTCAACTTACCTATTTACAATTTTATGAACTTCAGTCTTCCCATCATTTTTTGAATGTTCTGGACTGACAGGTGGAGAAGCACTAAGCCACTCTTGAGTTGATAACGTGTTATCTGGAGATAGATCAGTAAATAATGGATCTTCCTCTAGGTCTCTGTGAGATTGTATTAGACAAAAACATTATCATTCACAGAACGTTATGAAAGGCAGGAAAATCTGAACCAAAAGGCATGTTTTCTGATTTTCTTCTCTGAACAACTAAGATGTTTGCCAGAACACTATCATATGCACATCTTTTAACCTTATTAATATGGAGAAACAAAAACCTTTACAAATACCCAACAAACTTGGTTTTGAAGAAAAATCGTAACTTCTCGATCTCAACAACAGAGAAGACATTTTTGTCTGGCACAGAATCACTGCATTGAGCCACTTACATGAGAGAATTATACTCCAGGAAATAATTTGATTATTTGAGAGGACTCAGAAATATCTAAATTAAGATGCCCAAAATAGCTGGTGTGACTAGTCCTTACACTTCCTTTGGTTAAAAACAAAGGAGATCCAAGAGTTATGTAGGGTATTTCAAAGGATTTTACATAAAGTGTCCCAGAAAAGTTTCTCCACTAAAAATGAACCAAGAACATAAACTTAAGCAAGACACCTAAGTGATTGGCTTAAAAAAATAAACTTACTAAAAAAAATACAAACATGCATAGGCTTAAAACTATGTAGATGTGTAAGTAAATTGATATATTTGGTAGATGCATAAGTAAATTAATCTTGTTCAGGAAAGAGGCTTTTGATAATTTTAGCCTTTCTGTTACTGTTCTATCAACTTCCCCAACTTGCTGTAGTAATTTCTGCATCACTTTATGGATACAGATTAATACATAGAGCACTCAAAGTACTATCCATGCCCACTTTTCTTTCAATTACTGAAAAAAAAACCTGCTTCATTCTAAAAATAAGGATCCAAGTTAGCTGTTGTGAACACTTTCCTTAAAAAAGAAACTTACACTGCCCCTGCAATTTGTCCATTTTCTACCACATCTTTATCTTCTTGACAGAGAGGCTTGTATTCTATGTAGTTTCTTTCTTCTAAATTTCTCAGAACCAAATTATAAAGAATGTGCTCATTGGGCTTCTGCAAAAGGTGCTCAAACATTCGTAAAGTCATGATGCTGATCTGAAACATAAAAAGTAAAAATTCAGTAAACTGATGCACTGTTTACATCTGGTTTGTACATCCTACAACACTGCAATTACTTATTTACATT